GGGTGTCGGGTGTGAACAAGTACTACGTCTCCAAGGCAGGTGCTGGGGGCATGGGGCAGGGACTGCTGGGAGGTGAGCAAGAGCCCTGCGCTGTGACCTCCTGTCCCCGAGCTCTCGGCTTGGGGCTCACGGGATTTCTGAGGTGGGCACTGGTGGCTCTTGGGGCTGTCAGAGGTCACTCTGTGCCTGCAGCTGCCCTGCCTGGGGGGATGTGCATTTTAATTTATTTTAATTAGGGCTTGTGTACTTGAGCATAGTTTGGAAACCTGTATTTTCAGCTGTGCCCTCTTGCAAGTTAGCAACAGGAATGGTGCAGATAAAACTGTTACTTTCTCTTTTTCAGGGTCTGGAGAACATCGACTAAGGTGGTGGCACTTTGAAGAATCTAGAATCATAGCTATATAAAATGGTTTAACCCTTTAATAAAGATAGAGATGTATTCAGCCTTTGTAGCTGTGTTCTGTGGTGGGTTGACTCTGTCTGGACACCAGGTGCCCAACAAAGCTGCTCTGTCACTCCTCTCTTCAACTGGACAGGACAGTTGAAGCACAACAAAAGGTTCGCGGGTCAAGATAAGGAGGATCACGGGCAACACAGACCTGACTTGGCAAAATTAATTTAATTTATTGCCAATCAAATCAGAGTAGGATGATGAGAAATAAAATAAATATTTAAAAAAAATATATCTCAAAATGCCTTCCCCCCCACCCCTCCCTTCTTCCTGGGCTTAATTTCACTCCCAATGTCTCTACCTCCTCGCCCCGAGCAGCACAGGGGGATGGGGAATGGGGGGTTGTGGTCAGTTCATCACACATCTCCTTCACCTCCGGGGGAGGACTCCTCACACTCTTCCCTTTCTCCAGCATGGGGTCCCTCCTGCAGGGTGCAGTCCTTCAGGCACAGACTGCTCTAGTGTGGGTCCCCTGTGGGGTCACAAGTGCTGGCAGCAAACCTGCTCCAGCCTGGGCTCTTCTCTCCACGGCCCCACATGTCCTGCCAGGAGCCTGTTCCAGCGCAGGCTTCCCATGGGGTCACAGTCTCCTTCAGACATCCACCTGCTCTGGAGTGGAGTCCTCCACGGGCTGCAGGTGTGTCTCTGCTCCACCATTAACCTCCCTGGGCTGCAGGGGCACAGCTGCCTTGCCATGGTCTTCACCACAGGCTGCAGGGGAATCTCTGCTCTGGCACCTGGAGCATCTCCTCCCCCTATTTCACTGACCTTGGTGTCTGCAGAGCTCTTTCTCTCGTATATTCTCACTCCTCTCTCCAGCATTTTTCCCCCCTTCTTGAATACGTTATCCCAGAGGCACTATCACCGTCACTGACAGGCTCAGCCTTGGCCAGCGGTAGGTCTGTCCTGGAGCTTGTGTTGGCTCTACCAGACATGGGGGGAGCTTCTGGCATCTTCTCACAGAGCCACTTCTCTTCCCCCTGCCACTACCAAAACCTTGCTGTGTAACCCCAATACAGTTGCATATAAGCTTTGGCTGGAATTGTTTTCTTTGCTTCATGCACTCTGATATACACTGCGCAGGTGTCTGAGAGGAAGAAAAGGAATGCCAAGAGGACTACCGCAAAACTACCATTACAGCTGCATCTGTAGTAATAAGTACTAGTGAAACGCAGAAAGATTGCAGGATTTGTCCTATTTTTCCACACATTTCTGCTGACCTGCAGTTCCCCGTAGCAACCCAGCTGCCTGCGCAGCAGTGTGAATATCCAGACAGCACCACCTCCTGCAGCTTGCCATTCTTCCCTCCCAGCACAGTCATATTCATCAGTTTTAACTTACAATACAGCCAAAACCTGCTTCTGGTACATCCCAAATCCGCTATAAACAATGGCTCTCGCTTGTAAAACTCCTGTAAGAGACACAGAACAAAGTGTGCCTATGAGCAAAGGCAAGTTTCACAGCTCTCTCTTGCTCTGCAGTATTACATGTTGATATTCATTCTCCCATCTTGCACAAACCTAAACCAGCTTCCCATTGCTCTCGCTACCTCCTTTCACCTTCCAGCAGTAAGCATCTCCATCAGACCACAATGAGTAGGACCTGCACTTGCTCATTTACTCCTCCAGTAGCTGAATCCTTGTAGCAGCCCTGGAAGAGCAGCTGCTGGGAACTCAGCACCCTGTGTTCTGCTAAAACATTTCTGCCCTCTCTCACGTAGCGTCCGTGGTCCTTTCCCTCCAAAGGGCTCTGTGCTGCAAGCGCTGGAGTTCAGAGCCCGCAGCACCTCTGTGCAACGGGTCGGACTGAGTCTGTTTGGCAGAGCACAGAGCAGGAGCCTGCTCTAGTTCCCAAATTGCAGGGAGTGGCAGAAATGTGACAAACAGAGAGTCTGGCAGGATGCCATGTCCGCCTTTCCTGCTCCCATTGTCTTCCCCTTCCAGGACACTACGGCTGCTGGGGAGGGATTTCCCCAGGGTCCCGGGTCCACAGGGGCCCTGCAGCCCCTCCACGGGTGCTCCCCCCCAGTGCTGATGGGGACGCTGGCGCCCGGTTGGCTGTCACCCGCCTCACCATGGTGACACGGACCAAACATTCCCTGGATGCTGGGGATGGGCCAGGGGAGCTGCTCTGCAGGTCTTGTTTCCCCACGGAGAAAAGGACAGAGCAGTGACACTGCCAGGGCCTGGGCGCAGCTCCCTCCCGGCCACCCCTCTGGAACCAGGCTCCTTCGGGGGACAGGAATCGCTTTGGGCAGCTGTAAGTTGGGCTGAGCAGAGGCGAGTTACGGGAGGAGGGCTCAGCAGAGGGAGACTGCCTGTTGCTCTCCCTGCTGTCTCAGAATCCCTTTCCAGAACAGCCTGAAGCTTCTCAGATGCATCCCGCAGCTCTGAAAAACAACCCTCTCTGAGTGAGTTTGTGTGTTTCTCTTTCCGAAGGTGAAGACAATGGACAAGGGAGAGGAAAACTCTGCCAGCGAGGAAGAAGCTCACATTGTCACGGAAAATACAGAGGAATGTCTTCCAGAGCTGGAGAAAAAAGAGAAAGGTAACATGCCTGCTCTATTTGCATGTGTCAGGGTCTTCCCAGAACGATTAGGTAGCATTTTATCTATTTTAGAAGCTGAGTATGTCATAAAAAATATCCAGTGGACCACAGGCAGCAGCTTCACAGTGGAGAGAGGACGGCAGCAGATTGAGGAACTCATTTCTGTGAGTGACAATTCCACCCACTCGGGAGGGTCATGCCTTCTCACTGCTGAAAGTGTGAAAAATTGAAGGAGGGCACCTCAGTTCCTTTTTAGCACCTCCCTCGAGTCACCTCTACTAGAAAGGGAATTTCAGTGCCATGTGTTTGTTTGGCAGACTTGGGAGGTTCACGAAAGCTGGCTTCACTGGTCAGAATTTCTCCATGAAGAAGAACTGCAGTACAGCAAGAGGTACCATTACCGAGTTCTCTGGAGCATCCCAACACGCAGAAAACCCATCCCACGAGCAACAGCAAGCGTCTACTTTGTTATAGAGATCTCCAAAATCAAACCTGCTGTAAGTACTCAGAAATAGCACCAGTCCTTTAAGTGACACGAGTACAGGGGGGTTGCCTGAGGCAGGGAAACGCCAGGGCAGTGGAGGGACCAGGCAGGAGCTGGCAGCTCTCACGAGAGATGCTGAGGAGTCCTGGGTGTTGTCAGACCAACGGTGGGAGATTTAAATGCGGTATAATGGAAGCTAGCAGTCAGTTGCTGAGGGGAGCAGAGCACAGAGCACGAGGCTGCTTTAGTTCCCAAATTGTAGAAACTGGAAATCTGGCAGGATCCCACATCTGCTTTCCTGCTCATCCCATCTTCCCCTTCCAAGCAACAGCAATCACTCTGGGCAGCTGTAAGTCGGGCTGAGCAGAGGTGAGTTACGGAAGGAGGGCTCAGCAGAGGGAGACTGGCCGCTGCTCTCCCTGCTGTCTCAGAATCCCTTTCCAGAACAGCCTGAAGTTTATCACCTGTACAATAATATGTTGCAGCTCAAGAGAAAAAAAGAAATAATTTGCACCGAGTAGACTTTTTACCTCCAGAACCTATGCCTAGTCACACTGAACTACTTACTGGCCGTAGATCCCCAAGTAGCAGTCCACAGACGTCGTGGTTTAACCCCTGCTGGCGGCTCAAGAGAAAAAAATAAATAGTTCGCACTGAGTAGACTTTTTACTTCCAGAACCTATACTTAGTCACACTGAACCTTAGCTTTTCTACTTACTGGTCGTGGATCCCCAAGCAGCAGTCCATAAATGTCGTGGTTTAACCCCTGCTGGCAATAAGCACCAAACAGCTGCTCACTCACCCCCACCGCAGTGGGATGGGGAAGAGAATTGGAAGTGTAAAAGGGAGAAAATTTGTGGGTTGAGATAAAGAGTTTAATAATTTAAAAAAGAAATAATTACAATAACAGCACAGAAAAAAATAGCCAGGAGAAAGAAAAATAAAAACTAAGAAAAACAAGTGATTGAAATTAAAACAATTTCTTACCACCAACTGACAAATGTCCAGCCAGTCCCTGAGCATGCCCCTCCCTGCCAGTCTCCCCCGCAGTTTTACTGCTGAGCATGACACCATATGGTATGGCATATCCCTTCAGTCAGTTGGGGTCAGCTGTCCCAGCTGTGTCCCCTCCCAGCTCCTTGTCACCCCCAGCCTGCTCGCTGGTGGGGTGAGGAGCAGAAAAGGCCTTGGCACTGTGTGAGCCCTGCTCAGCAATAACTGACACATCCCTGTGTCACCAACACTGTTCCCAGCACAAACCCAAACCACAGCCCCACACCAGCTCCTGTGGAGAAAATTAACTCTGTCCCAGCCCAAACCAGCACAACAGCTCAGAGCCACTGGTCAGAAATCCTATATATCCTCGGACAAGCTTAAAATTGTAACTTCTGAGTCTTTCCATTCACAAGATAATACTCACAGAGGCTTTAAACCAAAACTATTCCAGTCCATATCAGAAACGTTGTACAAATACACAGGTGGTTTTTGGAGAAGTAGGTAGTAGCTCTCACCTAATTAAAATGTCTGCTTTTTAAGGTCCTGTATGTGAACTCTGCTCTCTCTCCTCTCTTGCAGACCTTGCCTGTGGAGGTATTCTTCACTCTGGAGTCCAGCAGGCTCATTCACAGGTAACTGTTATTACTCTTCCATCACGGACACAAATCCAGCAAGCTTCTCCATGTCAAAAGCAATCAAGGAGCTTGATGTATATAAGTTTGCAATAATAGCACAGAGGTGGGAAAAGCTGTCAAAATCTTGCTACACAAAACCAAACGACCCTGCTCACCATTAGCTCCCCTCCACCCCGAGCGTGGATAGCCACCCCATTGAGCATCTCCCTTCATAACGAACTCGTCCTGGATTTGCACAGCTCTAGGCAGTGCTCTTTTTCTCAGCAGATGGGCTCACCCTGTGAACAAAGGCCAGCTCTCAGCGGGCCAGCCTTGGATTCAATACCATTCTTACCATTTATCCTCTTTTTATTCTGTCCTCCAGGCCCGAACAGTGTCGGTTCAGAGAAAAGTGGCTTAAGGACATCATTGAAAATAAAATAATCCTCATGGAAAGACTGACTTCCTAATGAAGAGCTCCAGTTCACCATCGCCAATGCTCTGTTGGTATTTCATGGAGAATCAACTAAACACACTGAAGAAAGAATGTCTCTTCTTTATTAGCATTCCCATTTTGTGAATACATAAAAAGCATTAAATCTGTGCAAAATCAGCTACATCCTAACCTGGCAGCTGGCTTTACGTGACAGTCCCTTGCAGGTATGGGTGGGCACAGCAGGACAGAACCAGGTTCCAGAGGGTAAATGGGAAGAAGCAGCTGGGCTGGACTTGCTGTTTGTGAACACCAGGTCCGCAGAACTCCAGGGCAAACGTTATAGGACTTTTATTTTCTTTATACAAACATACAAGACATCTCTGCTGCCAAAACTACAACACAGAGATTTAGGGGAACAAAAAAAACCCTGTAGAAAACACTTTGTTCTTAAAAGCATTTGAGAAAAAGAAGGCTAAGGGGGGGTATGTTTGGAAATCTGCAGTGGAATCAAAGATCACCACCACAAAAGCACTACCTGGAGTAGGCCTCCAAGTACTGAGTTTAAAGAAAGACATGTAATACCGCTGAAACAGACCAAATTAAAATACTACAGGAGTTAAAATAAGATTTTAATATAGAACACTTCCATAGACAAAGAAATTTCAAATAAATGGAAAAATACATCCTTGTTACCACCTATGTACATGCAGGGGTTCCAATCACTGCACCCCACTGCTCCGATACCTATGTATAACATAGGAGAAAAAGAAGCAAGCAACTTAATTCTTCACCAAGGGCTTTGGTGGACTGAAGATCAGACCCTCCTACTCCTGTTACTGTTACGTTATACCCCAATCGTGATCTGCTTGCTTTAAAGTAACTGAAGCCCATCTGTATTAAATTACAAACTCATTTCTGTTTACAAGTCTAGTCTGAAGCACAAACCAAGCTCAACTGTTGTGGGAAAAAAATAAATCTAAAAGACTCATGAAAAAATTTCTAAGTGGACAGTCTTGGATCTTAAACAGGAACCTGGGAGTTCCTTCATTTTTACCGCTCTTACTAGTAGCTTGCTTCTGATGGCCAGTCTACTCTCATTAATCAAAACAAGTGGAAAATCACCCTTATCAGCATCAGGTGACAAAGCTCTCCCTTGGAACCCTCCTGCTTGTCCGACCCAAAGCAAGCACAGAACATTGCCACCTCGTATCTTCCCTGCCTGTTCCTGCCTTCCCTGCCTTGCAGCCTTCCACTTTACAGGGATTCCTTGTAGATGGTGAACAAATTATCCAGGAAAATCTGGCAAAAGTAACTCTGTTTCCCTGATACAAGTAATCCACTCTTGAGGCGTGGCCCTGCTGGGTGAAAGGCACTGCAGCACTTGCAGCTTTTTTCAAATCATGAGTGGAACAGGTTAGCTGCTGATTGTTAGAATCTATGGTGTACAGTTCAATTAAAGAATTATTTTTCCTCTTTGCCCTTAGTCTTTCTGTAGACCATCTCTCGAAAGCTCGCAAGGATCTTATTCTCTCGTTTCCTCCTCTCCTCCTGGTTGAAGGACGCCAGAGCCCTCTTTTCATCTGCGCTGTAAATCTGGTTCTCTTTACGCAGACGCACAGCTTCCATTCGGCGATGTCTGTGGAGGAGAACATTGTGTACATCAGCACGGGCAGAGGGATGTAACAGCCTGCCATGGCTTCCATCCATCGATTGACCTGAATGTTTTGAGGGGCTTATAAATAAAGAGACCTACACTAGAGAATCCAAACTGCCCACAAACCTTCCCAGGAAGGAGCACAGCAGAGCTAGAAACTGACTTCTGGGGGTGTCTGCTCTCAGGAAGTCAGCTGGAAGCCCCACCTGCCCCCAGGGTGTCAGCTGCTGGCTCACCAAAATTTAAGTGAAATTCCTGATGGACTCGTAGAGAAGAAAGTGCACCCAGCTTCTCACATTTTGATTTGTCTCCTACTGAAAAGCCAGCACACCACCACCACTGTCCAAACACACCACCTTTGAGCTGCCTGACACAAGCATCTCCTCATTTGAAACACACGATAATTAGAAGACTATTACCTGGAATGAATTTTTGCTCTTGAGGAGAGAGAGTCCTTAAAAAACTCCTCACCATCTATCTACAGCAATAGGGAGTTTAGCGTATATTATTGCAAGCACACAGAACACCTTCTCTTCTGTGCTTTCACCTAGAGCTTGGAAGCAGTCTTCCAACTGGCCAACAGAGGAAGCAGCACTTTAAAATCTCACTGAACCATTACCGGCATCAGATCCGTACCTGCTGCCACTCATGACATAGCCAGAGCTCTCAAACGATGCGATCTCTTCACTGGTCAAGCCGATTTCACCTCTCCGAGGTATACGTTTTCCTGCTTTTACGTACTCTGCCATTGCTGCACCTTCACCGGGCAAGAGGGCATGTCCATAGCTTAAAAAAAAAAAAAAAGTTGATTAAAATCAATCTCAAATAAAGCGAGCCTGAGCTAAACATCCAGCTTCCCTGTTCTCTACAGCTGCATTTTTAAGTGCTTTCTTATTCTTTCCTACCTATTGGCCTGTTTCTTCCTTACAGATAACACTAGCAACAACATCTTAAATTGAATCCATTCTGATTACACAGTAAGGAAGACACTATAAAGTCACAATACTGCAGAGCATTAGAACAAAGGCATCTTACAATTGATTTTCTAGGAATCAGGGCTAAAAAACATAAACCAGACTTTTGCACCTGAATTCAGGCCAGGGTAAAGGCTAGCACCACCACCACTTCTGCCTGTGGGTTTCCGGCACAGCATTTCTCTCTGATCCATGCCATACTGCCATAACAGTCCTTTTGAACAGAAACCTTCAGGCTCGATTTACTTGATTCGATCAAAGTACCGTTAGAACTGGCTACTCACTTCAAAGGCCTGTCATCCTGAGATGCATGTGTTTTGGGAGCTTCCGGTCCAATCAAGCTATCAGCTTCTGTATTTTCTGCAACAATCAAATAATGAGGAAGATAAGTGTGATAGATGATCCGTAAGGTCCCTTCTAACCCAAACCATTCTATCATCTGTGATTAATGTTATGCCCATTGTTATCAGAACAGTTACACAGGTCAGCAATACCTAACAAAGAATTCACGAAAAGGACAGCAAGAATTTTAATCCAAGCTTAAAGTCAGGTGAACCTACTTGATCTCTCAATCCAGAGATCTTCTCCTTGAAAAGTTTCATCATCAGAATCTTCACTACTTGAATCACTAGATTCCTTCCTGCTCTTCTTATTTTTCTTTTTCTTATACTTCTTCCTGTGATAAAGTTAAAAGACAGACATGCTATTTACCAAAATTTAAAGATGAAAAAAAGTGCTTGGAATCATACTCAAGTAATTAGTTTCTCAAAGCAACCTCCACCTACGGGAAGACTGGCTGTCTGCATATATATTGTTATTGTTTCATAAAAAACACCTCACAGCAAAACACAGACAACATATACACTGGTACGCCTTTCATATAGTGTTAGAAAGTGGCTCCCTATGCTTGCAGTGAGTCCTCTGTGCTGTATGGTTCTATAAATTTAAAGAAAATCAATCAAAAAGATTATTTGACAGCATTTATAGCCCTGATCACAGGAGTGCTCAGCCTTCCTCACCACCTGCTAAGGAAGTGGTGCTGCCCTCTAGCCAGAAGCAGGTAGAATTACACACAACAGCCTGGAAACGTACTTTCTGTTCTTCTTTTTCTTCTTCTTGCTTTTCTTTTTATCTTCATCTGAAAAAATAAAGTATATATATATATAAAATAAAAAAGAGACGATTAGCTATAACTAAGTAGTTTATTGCACCGTGAATAACTGTCTCCACGAGAATGCCTCAGTACACAGCTTCTCAGATGTGCTTTGTTTAGGTACCAAATAATACTGAGAAATTATTAGTAGAAAGCTACCTGCAGCTTTGTTCGATATAAAACCATATCAAACGTATCTCTGGTATGTTATGCTCAACAGATGCTAAATTCAGAAATCCTATTTCCTGAAGCCAAACTGCAAGCACTCGAGGAAAAGGCAATGCAAACCCAGCAAGATGGTTAAAGAAAAGAATACCGGATTGATGCTGCAGCTCTGCAATTTCAGAACACTGCAAGTGTGCAACAAAAGCCAGAAGTGTCACTTTGTGTTCAGAGAAGCAGAAGGAGAGCTCTTGCACTACAGACGTTAGCCGAAACCCTCTTTTCTTACCGCTGGAGCTCTGCTCGGACTCCGACTCACTGTCACTGTCTTCAGAATGTTTTCTGCGTCTTCTTTTGGATGTCTTCCGCTTTTTCTTCTTTCTTTTCTTCTTCTTTTTCTTTTTTTCCTCTAGAATGTCGTTAAAAGATACCATTAGAGAACAGACAAGGATCATCCAGCTCCATGTGTATTTCCTGATCTTCCCAAAGCAATGCTCTCCTTTGAACTGGAGCCCACCACACTCATTTCCACCTATCAAAGTCAGCAATCCTCTTGCAAGTGACAACAGCACATTCGGGACTTCAGTTGCTTCCCATTTCCGAAACACGCTCTATAAGCAAAACAAAATACCTTCTGAGCTGGAATCTGAAGAACTACTCTTAGATTTCGCCTCTTCATCTTCTACTGGTGTATGCTCATCAGAACTGAAAAATAAAAGTTTGCTATTTAAAATCTATTTTGTAGTATTCAAGATCAAAAGTACTCATATGACCAAACATGTTTGCAGATTTTGAGTCAATACTTGCAATAGAGTAAACTATTAAACTGCTAATTTGCAGCATGGGAACTGCTTTCAGAACCACAACACAAAGGTCACCTGATCTACAATAAATCATATCTTGCAAACTGGTATGTTGGAACTACTTGGGGGGGGGAAAGGAAAGATAATAATCTCGTTATTGTTGATTCAGAAATGAACTGACACAACGTGAATTACGGCAAAGGGACTACTGTAGAAATAAGCCATTTTTGTAAATTAAACTGACAATCAATATCATAAAAGCCAGAAGTAAAGAAGAAAGAATGCGCC